TGTATGTATGTATGTTTGTTTGTATGTATGTGTGTGTTTGTTTGTTTGTATGTTTGCTGAATCACATCTGTTCCAACGGTGCACCCTAAAAGAGTTATTTATCGTTTTAATGCTCCGTTCGATTTTTTCTATTTTTTGGCTATTTTTCACGTTGCTGTTGTTGTTACTGTTGCTGTAATTGTTGTTATTATTACTATTTATGTTGTTGTTGTTTGCGTTATTTTACTGCTTGCTGATGAATTTTGTATGATTTCGTTTATTTTTTTTGCTGTTCATATGACTGTTGTTGCGTTGTTGTTACAATTGTTATTATTATTATTTTTGTGGTTATTATTATTATTGTTGTTGTTGTTACTATTTTTTTCCTGGCTGCAGTTGTTTTGCTCGTTTGCATTGAAGGCCGCTCTCCTTACCGAATGCCTTTTTTTGTTTATGCTTGGTTTTGTTTACGTTTTGTTGTTTGTGGTTTGTTGTTTATCTTTTTTTGTTTGTGGTTTGTTTTTTATGTTTTCATGTTCATGTTTTGCTGTTTAGGTTTATGGTTTACTGTTTATGTATAAGCGATGTTGTTGTTTATTTCCGTAACAACGCAATGTTAAAAGTAAACTTAGATCTGCATTAAGTTTAACAACGCGTCAGGTTGCTAATAATAATAACTGTTTCTATACATTCATTGTAAATCTACTGATATAAGTTCATTGTTTATGTGTTATTATTATTATTGTTGTTGTTGTTGTTTTTGTTGTTGTTGTTGTGACCTGTTATAGGCCAAAAATCAGTGAAAAATATTCAGTCGTTAACTTATATCTACGCATGCGTACGTGCGGATGTATTAAACACAATTACTATACACACGCACGCACGCACGCACACACACTCACGCATACACACGCGCACACACACGCACACACGTGCACGCACACACGTGCACGCACACACGCACAATTGTTTGTCCTGCATTTTCTTTATCGCTGCGTGCGCCCTTGCAAATGAATGCGTTTCTTCTTGGCTTGTTTGTGCGTGGGAGAGAGAGAGATAGAGAGAGAGAGAGAAAGAAAAAAAAAGAAAGAAAGAAAGAAAAAAAAAAAAAGAAAGAAAGAAAAAGAAAGAAAGAAAAAGATAGAGAGATAAAGAGAGACACAAAATGAGAAAAAGGAGGGTAAGGAAAAAGTAAATAAAAAAAAGATAGATATAAAGTTTTAGAAGAATGAATGAATGAATGAATGAATGAATGAATGAATGAATGAATGAATGAATGAATGAATGAATGAATGAATGAATGAATGAATGAATGAATGAATGAATGAATGAATGAATGAATGAATGAATGAATGAATGAAAGGTAAAAGTTGGTCTGGCGGTTGTTCGGTCAATGAAGTTTATTATGATCATCACGGATGTATGTGCTGTATTCGATTGAAAGCAGGATTTTATAACGTTGTGTTGTTGCTATTAAGTAGAAATGGAAGTTAAAACAGAGAAAGACAAAGAAAACGAGAAAGAAAAAGAGAATAGAGAATGAAAGAGAGAGAGAGAGAAAGAGAGAGAGGCAAAAAACCAAATCGGGACATAGAACATAGACCTAAAAATACCAGTAAAAAGTAATTAAAAATTAAGTTTCATGCCATGCTCGTACGTATGCGAACGTACTAAAGATCTTTGCAGTCAGTAATAGTACTAAAATACTATTTTTATTTATTTTATTATTAATATTATTTTATTATTAATATATATATATATATATATATATATATATATATATAAATTTGACCTAAAAAGTATATTTATATGGTTCGTGTGCTACATCTGAGGATCAATAACATGTTAGTATCTAACCAACCATCAATAACAAACAGATGACGCTATGTGTATGTGTGTGTATGTGTGTGTATGTGTGTGTGTGTGTGAATTTGTTTGTTCAGCACAACTACACACACCTACACGCACACGCACACACACATATACAACCTTTTGTTATTGTTTTAAACTATTGCCGTTTCTAACAATAATTTTTCATTTGATTTTTTCCATGTTTTTTTTATTTCATCTTTTTTAATTATCCTTATTATTATTATTATCATTATTATTATTGTTGTTGTTATTTAATATTATTATTTTTTATTGTTATTATTATTATATTTATTGTTTTTAAACGTTGTTGTTTCTGTGACTGTTTATATATTGGATATTTGTTCAAATTGCTGATAGTGATGATATTTTACTACTACTACTACTACTACTACTACTACTACTACTACTACTACTATTACTACTACTACTACTACAACTAATACCACCACTGCAACTGCTACTACTACCACCACCACCACTACTACATATTCAGTTACGTTTTAATTCTATTCATATTCGTATCTTCAACATTAAAAAGATTCATATGTTGATAGGTATGTATGCATATTTATATGGAGCTACTTATGAATAAACATGCATCTAGGTCCTTGATAAAAGATACAATAAGACCATTTGCCATGGCATTCCAGAAAGGCTTATTTATATAATAATATATAATAATAATTATTATTATTATTTTATAATTGTTATAGATATTTTTGTAGATATTATTTGTATGTATCAGTTTGTATACAATACAATACTCATACATATATTTCGCCATGCATTTTTACATTTCACAGTAAGCAGGTATTTTACCTTCTCTCTCTATCTCTCTCTCTCTCTCTCTATCTATCTATCTCTCTCTCACTCTATCTCTATCTATCTATCTCTCACTCTCTCTTTCTCTTTCTCTGTCTCTCTCTCTCTCTCTATTTATTTATCTATCTCTCACTCTCTCTCTTTGTCTGTCTGTCTGTCTCTCTCTCTCTCTCTCTCTCTCTCTCTATGTACGAATGTAGTTAGTTATAGAGGCACGTCACACGTTTAAAGTCATGAATTAATAATCGGAAGCCATAAAATATGCATTGGAGAACCTAGTCTATGCATTACCTTAGCTCGTAACTCATATTGCATTCATGCACACACACACGCACACACACATACATACACATACACACACACGCACACATACGCACACACATACACACACAAACACACAAACATACTATCAAGTGTACGCATAAACATACAAAAATATAGACATACGTGGAACATGTTTTATCCTGTTGTAATTGTTGATTTTTGAATTGTATTATTATTGATAGTGTAATAATAATAATAATAATAATAATAATTATTATTATTATTATCATTAATTTCTGTTATTCTTGTTATTATCTTTATGATGGTGAGGATGATGATGAAAGACATCGACATGTTGTTTATGTTGAAATGTTGAAATATTTAATTAGTCTCTGAGCACATGCACAGGGTTATTTCAACTTTTCAAAAAATTTAATCGGTGAAAAATTGTTTTACATAACACACAAATACATAAATACAAACACACGCACACGCACGCACACACACACACACACGCACGCACGCACGTAACATACATACATAAATATAATATATAAGCGTAAACGCATAACGCCGTCTTCAAATAACGACTCTACACTGATATATAAAGTAAGAACAAAAATATTATTAATGATTTACTAAGATGAATGATGCGAATTAACATCAGGTACTACTACTACTACTGCAGCTGCTGCTGTTACTACTACTACGACTACTACTACCACTACTACTACTACTACTACTACTACCACTACTACTACTACTACTACTACTTCTGCTGCTACTAATACTACTACTGCTACTACTACTACTATTAATACTACTTGTGCTGACACTACTAGTACTACTACTACTTCTCTATCGCTGCTAAAACCACTACTACTACTAATACTACTGCTGCTGCTGCTGTTACTTCTACTACTACTACATCATCATCATCAGCAACAACATCTACATAGCCAAACGCATTGAAAGAGTTTAATTTATGGCTGCAAGAGTTACCAAAGAGCAATTATAAGGTAGAAATAACATATTAATTACAGCAAAAATTTCGACGACGCAACAATAACAACAATAACAACAACAATAACAACATCAACTACAATAACAACTACAACAACATCAACAACAACAACAACAACAACAATAACAACAACAACAACAACAACAATAACAACAATAACAATAACAACAACAACAACAGCAATAATAACAACAACAAAAATAATAATGTTAATCATAATTGCAATAACAACGTCCAGAATATTATAAGTTGTTGTTATTATAGTTCAGAATGTCATCAACATCGTAAACTCGAAATGGTAATAAAGTTGATTATGATGATGATGATGATGATGATGATGATGATGGTGATGATTCAGATGATGATGATGATGATGATGGTGACGGTGATGATGATGACGAATAACGAAAAATAAAAAACAATGATAATAATATTATTGTTATTAATAATAATAATAATAATGAACAAAATTATTAATTTAATAACAAATGTAAAATAATAATAAAGTTAATCTAAACCGTTATTATTATTATTATTATTATTATTATTATTATGTTATTATTATTATTTTAAATGATTTGTTGTTTTAAACGGAGCAGATTGCAACGACATGTACAACGAGACATTTTTTATTTACTACAACTACTACTACTACTACCACTGTTACTACTACTACTATCACTACTGGTGCTACTGCTGCTGCTGTTTATACTACTACTACTACTATTACTACTACTACTACTACTACCGCTACTACTACTACTACCGCTACTACTACTACTATCACTAGTATTACTACTGCTGCTGCTACTGCTGTTACTACTACTACTACTATTACTACTGCTACGACTACTACTACAACAACTACTACTACTTTTACTACTGCTGCTACTACTATTACTACTTGTAATAATTAATAAAAATAAGAATAATTAATAATATTACATTACATAATAATCATAATAGTAATTATAATTTTATTATTATCACTACTACCTACAAAAACCAGTTACGAAAAAATTTAAGAAGAAAAAAAAAGATGGAACAACTGGTGAAGTTCATCTCAGAGAGCATTTCAGATATGACGTATTCATCGGGGAAGAATTATTACAACAACAACAACAACATCAACAACAATAATAGCATCAACAACAACATTCTTGACGGCCAAGACATGAAACATCATCGTCACCATCATCACCATCACCATCAGCAACAGCAACATTTTCAACAGCAACATCAACTACAACAGCAGCAGCAACAGATGTTGCAACAACATCAATTCCAGCAACATCAACAACAACATCACTTGCCTGGATATGTCGATCGCAGAGCTGGTTTTGGCCTTTCAAATAACATCAACAACACATTCAATAGCACGCCCTATAATATCATCAACAACAACATTAGCAACAGTTTCAACAACACTAATAATCTACCCGATGCCTCAAATTATAAAATTATGAGTTACAACAACAACAACAACGTTAACAACAACAGCAACAGCAGCAACAATTTCAATGAATTCAACAATTATGTAAGCAATCATAATAACATCAACAACAAAACTGCAGATATATATAACAACAATAACATTAACTGTATCAACAATACTCTCAATCATTCGAACTCAACTAGTCCCGCCATAAACTTCAACAATGCCAGCAACAACATTAACATTATTACTAAAAACAATATCAACGATTACAACAACAACAACACTAACATCAACAACAACAGTAACAACAGCAACAGCAATAGTTCAATGTTAATGTCACCACCTAACATCATTTCACCGCGAAACAACAACAACAAACATCTCATGACCGAACTATCATCTGCACCAACAACGCCAATGGTGATGACGTCGACGATGATGATGTCACCTGAGTTCAAGGACGAACGGGGTCACGAAAGGTCAAACTTATATGATGACCCTTCCAAAGCGTCCTTCGTGCAGAGGTCACCGAGAATAAAAAAAGAAATAACGAACCATCGGTATAACAATTGCAGCGACCCTGGTAAATTTTTTTATATTTTCTATACTTTATTATTATTATTATAATTATTATTATAATTATAATAATAATAATAATTATTATTATTATAATTATTATTATTTTGGGAAGATTCCATGTCCAAATTTCTTTTCTCCTTTTGAGTTATTAGATGGTCGATACATTCGTTGAACTTTTTTTTTTGATCGGGGGTGAGAGCTTATCATCATCATCCAAATTTATTTTTATCTATTATTTTAATTATTTCAATTATATTAATTATTTTATTTTGCTTTATATAAATATATATATACATATATTGTTTTATTTATTCAATTGCAATATATGCACGCACACACGCACACATGTGGTACGCATGTGTGCGTGTGTACGTGCATTCATTGTGTACACTACCTTTCATTAACTCACATGCGTCAATCGAAAAATTTTTTTTTTAATTGTTTGAAAAAATCCACATTTAATTGTTAGCATTTTCACACGTTACTTACGCACACAAACACACACAAAAATACACAATCACATACACACACACACACGTATACACATATACAAACACATACATTTTTTTCTAATAACATTTTTAGGGAAGAATAACGTCAGTGAATGTTTTTTAAATTGTGAGGAAACTCTTTTGCAATGAAGAGAATGAATGACACCGCGAAAATATACACATACACACACATACACACACATCACACACACACACACACAAACACATCAGCTATCATTTTTCTGGCGTTAATTGACGATAATTTAAAATGGTTTTTTTTTTAGACAAAAAAATTTCTTGAATTGGAGAAACATGTTTGGCAAATTAAATGCAATCTGTATACAAATTTTATTTTATGTGTACACAACTTATTTAGTATACAATCTGTACACACTGTACACCAAAATACCCAATATACCAACTAGGATACAAAGTATGATACACAAATGATACCCAAATGATACACCATCTCTCATCTCTTCTCATCTGGATGGTTTTTAAATCTAATTAAAATTACGAAAGACAGGTCAATATCATTGATTAAACTTGAGGGTTGCATTTTTATCTAGTGTAAACTTATGAATCATGTGCACTTGAATGTGTGTGTGTGTGTGCGCGTGCGTGTGTATGTGTGTGCGTGTGTGTGTGTTTTAAAACAAAACTACAAACATAAAAAATATAATAATAATTTTAATAATAATTATATTAATATCAACAATAAGACATTAAATGACGTTATTAATTAGATTTATTAATTAGTTAATTAATTACTCCTCATGTTACGAGTCTATTAAATGTTTTCTACCAATACATTTATTCTCACTCAGATCCTAATCATATTTAAATAATTTTTTGAGGTTTGTGTAAACATTTAAACTTATAAAGATGAACAAACATACATGAACGAATGGTACATATCCACACAGATAACACAGATATAACAAGCACATGTGATTCTTGTAAAAACCTACCAGCTTAATACTCCACACAAACACCACATTCTTCAAAACAAATCCAGTTTTAAGTGTGTGTTCAGTAACACATAGAGATAAAATAACTAACTATACGTGCCCAAAAACTGAAATGATAAATTTTCTTGTATAAAAATTTAGTTTTACTGACATTGCTCCCAACCGGAAGTCAGGCTTTTCCAGGCCCTCTAGATCCGTCACTATATATTGCCCGGATATAACATACATTTGATACGGATATAACGCACATATGACACATACTTTGGTAGATTTAAACATAAGAAAAGATAGATTGCGGTTGCTAGAATATTACTTCTCGTTATCATTATTACAAGAGTTTTTGTTTGTTTGTTTGTCTATTGGTTCGTTCGTTGGTTCGTTGGTTTGTTTGTTTGTTTGTTTCATTGACGCGTTCATACCTTACCAATAAATAGCCTCTTTAAGTGTTTGACTGAACACGTAAAGTAAGTAGAGTAGAATTGTATTTGTAGGTAGGTAGGTTGGTTGGTGGGTAGGTTGGTAGAATAAGGAAGGTATGTGTATATCAGTGCGCGTGTGTGCGCGTGTGTGTGCGTGTGTGTGTGTGTCAATGTGTGTGTGTTTATACGTGAAGTTGTACAGGTGTTAGTGCTTTCACCTGTAGTAAGGCTGTTGCTTCTATTGGATTATTATTATTATTCTGCAGTTCTGTTATCATTATTATCATTATTCTTGTTATTTTTTTTTATTATCATTCTAATTATTATTAACCAAGAACAACAGAGATAACAAAATCATCATCAGCATCTTCTTCGTCTTCGTCATCAGCGCCATCATCACCTCATCATCATCACCAACAACCACAACATACAGAAAACTGGGCAGTTCATTGACCGGGGTTGATTATTATAAAAATAAAAAATAAAAACCACACACACACACACACACACACACACACACACACACACACACACACAAACACACACACACACACACATATATATACGCATATTTATAGTTATCAATATTAAATTATTAATGTGATAGAATTGATTTTGGTAAAACCGATGTTATTGTTTTATAAAATAACGGTTGTTGTCAAAAATATATTATATATATTATATATATATATATATATATATATATATATATGTGTGTGTGTGTGTGTGTGTGTGTGTGTGTGTGTGTGTGTGTGTGTGTGTGTGTGTGTGTGTGTGTGTGTGGTGTATATACATATATTTATGCGTTATAAAAAGCGTTATAGGTTGAACTAAATTTAAAACATTCAACTATAACGTTTATGTATGTGTGTGTGTGTGTTTGTATGTGTGTTTGTGTGCGTGTGTATGTACGTTTTTTAACTCTTCATGAACATCTGTGATTCACAAGTGAGTGGTCTGCAGTAGCAGTTGTGTCTATCGAATTTGTGTCAAACATACATGTTATATATGTAAATACACACACACACACAAACACACACACACATACACACATAAAATGCATCATGAAATATAAATGTGCATGAATTAATGCACTGCTTATTAATAATTCATGACATTTTTTGTCGTCGTCGTGAATTGGCTGTTTGTTTACAAGCGCTATGAATATGCCTAAATGGAGTTTTACGTTGGGGCGTTCTAATTCAAGTGCTTCATTTGGAGTGCTAATAATAATAATAAAATAATAATAATAATAATGATAATAATAATAATGATAATAATAATAATGATAATAATAATAACAATAATAATGATAATGATAATAAGACGCAGTAAAATTCAGACCTCGAGTGACAGTTGGAAAGCCCTTTATTGGTTCGCCGCATGTTTGTTGTTGTTGTTTGTTTGTATGGGAATGAATGAATGGATGGATGGATGGATGGATGAATGGGTGGATGAGTGGTTGAATGAATGAACGAACTAACAAATAGATGAATGAGCGAATGAAGGAACTAACAAATAAATGAATAATCGAATGAATGGATGAATAAATAATCATGCATGCTTCAATGTTCCCAGCAATTATCTTTAATGCTCTGATAACCGTTCAAGCCAGTCTGCCTGCATGCAACTTCCTCCTTTCCCTCTCCTTCTACTGCATCTGTGCATAAGCAATTGTACATGCCAGTTGTACGTACGTGTACCTCTCTCTCTCTCTCTCTCTCTCTCTCTCTCTCTCTCTCTTTCTATATCTCTCTCTTTCTCTCTTTTGCTTTCTCCCTCACTTTTCTCATCTCTTTTCCTCTTTTCTTTTGTGACGTGTTTGTTCACACGCACACACAAACACGCACACACACACATACACACGCATACAGACACAAACACCACACGCGCACGCACGCACTCACACACACATAGCAAGACAGATAGACAGACAGAAAGACAGACAGACAAACAGACAGACCTATTAAATGTACACTGCCTGGAAATATCAGGAGGAGCTGTCTGTTGAGACTGCATACAAACAAACATACAAACAACATACCTACTCGTAACACGCATCCATCCAATAGTTGCCAGAATTGTATGTATGTATGCCTTTGTATAGACGTAAACACGTATTGTACACACCTAATACCTACATGTACATATACATGTTTGCTTTTTTGGGGTATTTGGCATACATAGATGTTGTGTACTTTATAGATGTGCGTGCACATGTCTGATTTCACTTTTCACCGTATTCTCTGATTTTATAAATTCCTAAAAAAATCCATGGTTTGTTGGTTTGTGTTATAAAAATGGCAGCAGTTTCAATCTGGAGAGCTCTATTGATTAGCTGGTTATCATCCAGTATGTTTGTTTGTTGGTTTGTTTATTTGTTTGTGTGTGTTTGTTTGTGTGCGTGTGCGAAACAAGCTGGAAATACAAATATTGTTTCTGTCGGGAAAAAAATTACGAAAAGAAATTTACTAAGCTCTAGTAACAAAACAACTCCAAATGAAAAATTACAAACGCACTCACACACACAGACACACGCCACACACACACACACACACAAACAAACAAACATATTGGATGGTAAC